ATTCAGAAGTAATGTTTTTTTAGCTCCATCAGAAACTGTATCGCTTATGCTAATCAGGTAAATATTGTAAAAAAAGATTCTCCTATCACCATAGCCCACTGATGGACCATCAGGTAAGCGACTAATCTGATTAGCGATGAAGTTCCCTTCTAACCAGAACTCTAGAGCTGGTCAGATTAGTTTAGTCTCTGGGTTATACTAAGCCGTACCTTGGACCATTAAAGAGTTTTCTTTTACCTCTGTTACAATCTGTCATGCAGTGCACCATGACTCATCTTGAATGCTTTGACGTGGAGATCATACGGAGATATGTTTATATTTGCAAGCTGATTTGCCGTTGCCTCTGTCTCGATGTTTCTCGGTCGTTTCTCTGTCTTCCTTTCCCCTCACCCACCATCTTCACCACCCAATACGCTTAAACTTCAATGGCCCTTGTAGCGATAAAATGCAGCTACAAACAACCCCTGCATTAAAACGCTTATAATCAACACAAGTTATGTCGGGCTTTAGATTCTAAATCTAAATTTCATACGCTTACGGTATTATATTTTAGCCTGTTTCCTTTACAAATGACACATGTTTGTTTCCGGTGTTTCTGTGAAAAACTAATTCTATAGAAACGGCTTTGTTCTTTCCAGAACTGATGTTTGAACAAGACAAAGCTGTTTATTTACCAGTCACGGAAGACGAATATAAAAACTATACACAAGTGTGAGAGACGTCCTATAGGACCGCATTGCAGTTTTTGCCTTTCTGTAAGAGTCTGTTTCTCTAAGCAAACTTTGGACACGATAAACTGCACAGTAAGGTTATAAGATTTGATTTGTTTTCGCTGGGTTTGCTTTTGTAGCGATCACATTGTCCACTAAGGCCGTACACTAGTTCCGTAGACGAGGTATAGGTGTTCCGTGGACCCCTTGACTACGTTTACATGACAAAATAATCAAGTAGAGTTTGAAAAAAATGTTAAAGTACAGGTGAAGCTTTCTTTCTGTCACCTTTGCGGCTAACAGTTCTTTCTACCTGCTGGTACTGCGAACTCAAAACAAAATAAACAAAACCGTGTCTTTTGCATTCACTACAGTTTACCCTGCTTCCTGTCGGCAAAGCATCACCCTCCCCTCCCTCCATCAAACCATCACCCGAGAAAAAGGGAAAGTGCGAGAGCTATGTAAGGAAGTGGTTAGTCAGCTGGTATATGGCTTCATGGCCTGAATTTTGTCAAGTTAAATTTAGATTATTCTCTTCTTTTCATGATAGATTCCTTAACGATTAGGTGCGCTTTGTGTTAGGAACATTCTACCTTTGTATTTAGCCACCATATATTTAGCCATGGCTTGATTAAGAATTGTATTTAGACCCACACACCGGATCCAGCTAGAAAGTTCGGTATTTGCGTAATTAATGTATAATTCTCAGAAAAAGCTTTTTCCTTTCTAAGAATAGAGTCTAATGCCATGACATACATCTAAACAATGAAGCTGATTGGTGAAAGATTGTCATGACCGGTGAAGAGAGTAATCCTATTGGTCCGTTGTGTAGCTATGGAGTAAGTTGCTAAGTAAGTGAGCTAATTCTCCTTTGCCAAACCAATTCTTTTGTCCAAGTTCTTTCTCCTTCAGTTGCATCTCCATCTCCGTCGGTAAGTTTTCTTGACAAATTAACCGTAGCAATGTTCAGTTTTTTGCTCGGCTTCCAACATCTAAGAAATAATTCAACGGTTTTTAAACTTGACAATAGTAAGACACATGTAACGGTAATTCGTAGCGACGTTTTGTAGTCTTGTTTGTTACAAATATGTAAAAACGCTATTGTTTACACGGGCGGTGTGATTCGTTTCGAATCATTTTAGTCCAGAAATTGTGATCGGGTGAATT